ATGCTATCAAACTAATAAAATTGTTAGTTCTACTTCCACTTCTACTTCCTCCTCTTAATTCATTGCTACCAAATAGGCCATAATTGAATTGGGCTAGAAAAGTTAATTTCATGTGAAGTCCTAAGTTATTCCCTTTACTAGAATTGAATCAAACTTTTCTCAATTTTTGATTAATTAATCCCTTTTGTCACTTAATTAATAGTGTTTAGGTGATATTAGCATTAGCATCTATTTAGGCAATTTTAATTGCATAAATTGCATTTTTTCATGTGTATTTTAGTGTAGAAAATCTAACATTTAATTTTAGATCTTTTTGCATTAGTTTTTAAATACTTAGAAAACTTAAGATAATTCTTAAATTGCTCCTTGAAAAGAATGATTGGGATTGGCCTATATTATATTGAGTTAATATTAGTTTAATTGAGTGCCGACACGATTAAGGCAAATATAATGCCAACATAAACCTTTTACTTATATCAATGGTGCTAGAAAGTAATAGTGTTGATTTTGAGATTGATGCATGTGGTAAGGTTAAAGAAGCCAAATCAAACCATGTTGAAGTTTTTGCTTCTTCTTTAGATATAAGCATTATTGAGACTTAATAGGAAGTTGAAATTATGCTAGAAGAGCAATTTTGGAAACAAACTTCAACTATGGTAGCTTTGAATTCTAAGACTATTAATGATGATACCCAATTTCATCCAGCTTTTGTTCGGCATCTTTCATTTACTATGTCTCTCCATTATTTTCTTGTAACGCACTCAAATTATTTATGATTCACTTCATACCATTTAGTGGTATTTGATTTGCTAAAATTATTTTCAAACAAAGACATAATTTGGAATCTCTTGATCCCATTGTGCTTCTCGAACAATGAATATGTTTACATGTTTACTCTTTGAAGGAGAGTTCTTCAATCATGCAGGTGAGAAATGATGAAAGAAAAGAAAAAAAGAAAAATTGAAGATTTAAAATTAATTAAAAATATTTTGTTTTAATTATCCTAATGTTCGAATTATTATTATCTTTACATTTAATTTTAGAATTTCTAAAATATTCTTGTATTTAATTTTATGGTCAAGGTTGAGGCCTATATATAATATCCCTAACACATTTACTTTATATAGCTATTAAATAAGAATTACTATCATTTTTACCTATTTTCCAAATTGTCCTCTTTTTTGTCCAATTCTCCCTACCCCTTTATCTCTTCCCTATTCTTTTTTTCCTTTTCCCTTCCATTTTGCTTCATGTAGGCCTATTTACCCATTGTGTGGATCATTTAGGTATTTTAAAGTTTTAATAGATGAATCTATAAAATGGTCACATTTATGTTTATTGTTATCATGTAATTTAGCATTTGCTATATTTATAACATCTCAACCTTTTAAGCATGATTAATTTTATATTAAAGCATTTAACTGTGTTTTCTAGTAGGATGGAGTTAAAACAGGGGAAGAATTGGGCCCATTGATTTCTGAACTGAACACAATACTTTCTCCGTTTAAAGATGTAAGGTATTTTTAACCGAATCTTACTTCCAATAAAATAGTTACCTACTTTCAAACTAACCCTATCTTTTTATATTTACCCCTATTAAACACCCTACAATAAATAAAAGTTATTTATCAATAGGGACACTTTTTAAAAAAAGACAATGATTACATATCAAAAGACTAAAAATGCCTTACATTTTTAAATAGAGGGAGTGTTAAAATGGGCTGTGCTAACATAATACCTCACACCTATATTAACTTCAATTCCAAAAAAATATTAATCTAATCATATGATTTATTGCTGTTTTAAGTTTTATGATAGATATGCTTCATTTCCAGTCTCCTTGTCTCACGAACAATACATGATCTTATGATCATATAATTCATTTCAACTCTAATCTTTATTTGGATGTGGAGAAAAACATGAGAGGAAAATAAACATGGGGAGAAAATAGAAGAGAGGGTAATTTTTTTCTATTTGGATGAGAAAAAAAAAAGTGAAAGGAAGAAAAAGTGAAGAAAAAAAATGAGGCATGGGACCTACCACATTTTCTCTTCAAATTTTCTCTCCACAAATGGATAGATTTTAAGAAGAAAATATTTATTCCACATCTACCTTCCCATTTTTCACCCCTTTTGAGACTTGACTCTTATTTGAAAGGCTCAGGGCCTTCTAAAAAATTTAAAAAAAATTAAATTAAAGTAAGCACTATAAATTAATTAAAATATTTAAAATTAAAAAAATTAAATCTTCACAATCTTTTAAAAATTAAACAACACATATTTAGAAGACTAGTAATAAAATTTAAATCTTGGTTAAAAATAGTTTATTTTTTATAAATACACATACATAATAATTATAGAAAAAAAAAAATATTAAAAATTTTATACTATACACTGATATTTATTAAATTATATTAAATTAATTTTAGAGTAAATTAAAATTAATAATCATATAATACATGTAGGATTAGGGCTTTAGGCAAGCAGATCCTTAGTTTCAAATGCATGTTTCACCAAGAAAAAAATTAATAATAATATAACAAAGTTTGAAGAGTTGTCCAAGCTCAGACTCTTTTTTACAGGGCTTATTAGAGCCAAACTCTCAAACCTAATTATTTTAAAAAATTATTTTTAAAGTTTAAATTTTTATTTAAATAAGACTTTCAAACCTGGCTCTTTAAACCCAGCTCTTATTATCAATTTTATATGCTATGGAACTCATGACTAGGTAAAAGCAAAATGCTCTCACCAACAAACCAAGAGCTGTTTTGCTCAAAGAAAAAAAAAACAAACCAAGAGCTGAATTGAAATTTATTTATTTTTTTATTATATTTAATTTTAAAAATTATCTAATTTTTAATTTTGTAAATAAAAATAAACATATTTTTACTAAATTATTTGGTTTTAAAATATAATAACATGAAAGTAATTTCTACCAACTAATTTGATTTTAAATTATTTTGATAATGTTAATTTTTATATAATGTTTACTTTTAATATATTTTTATACATATAATTACATTAAACATGTATATTTTGATATAAGGATATTATAATCATTGTAAATTTACTCATTTTCCTTTCTCTCTATTTTTTTCAGTCCATCTAAATATAAGGAGTGATACTTTTTTTCCTTCCATTTTCTTCTCTTCTAACTTTTCTTCTCATCCAAATAAAAGCTAAATTCACGCCTTCGTTAATTACTCTTCTTTCTCCCTCCCATCTTCATGATGCATGCTCATGTCTGATTCTTCACCATTTTCCTTCTAATATAAAAATATTTCATAATGGTGAAGTATTCTAAGCAAAAATACTTGTTCATTTGAATTTCTCTATATTATTAAATTTTAGAATGCTAGTTACTGTTTCATGAATATTTTGGAGATTAAAATACATTTTCATCCAAAATTAATATAAAATTTAACAATCAACGCTAGTTTTTTATTTAATTAAGGAACAATCTTGCAATGTTTTTAATACTTAAATAATAACATTATGAACTAAATAATTTAAAGTATCTAGTACTACTTTGTGAAATAAATGAGGGAAAATTAGAGCTTGTAATACTGCCAAAAATATTAAAACTGGACTAAGAAATGTAAAAATTTTCTTTACTTTAGTGTTAATATGTTTGAAGAAATTTGGGCCAAGCCCAAATATCAAAATTATTTTTTATTATTAATATTAATAGAATAGAATTAAAATAGGACAGAAATAGAAAATATTATTTTTAAAAAATAAAAATTGAAATTAGCTAAAAAGGGAAAATATAAAATTTAACAATTTTGATATGTGAGCTAATTCAATTGAACCTAAAGATTAAGAGTGTGTTTGGTTGGGGGAAGGAGAGGGAAGGGGAGGGGCTCTCCTCCCCTCCCCTCATTTGGTTAGGAGGAGGGGAGCCTCTCCCCTCTCTTCCCCTTCCTTAACTAAAATTCAATTTATTTATGGAAAGTGTAAATTACTTTTCAATTGATAAATAATTTTTTTATAAGTTATGCATTAATTACAGTGTGAGAAAGAAGTCATCGAAGGAAGGTAACTTGTTAGTGCATGTCTTTTTCTAGAATCCAACCGAATATTAAATTTTAAAAACTAAACCAATGATTAAACTGATTTATACAGGTATATAATAATTTAAATATAAAAAATAAATATAAAATTATTACTTAATTTAAAAATAAAATAAATATTTTAAATTTATGGCAACTTAATAAATCAAATGATACAATATAATATTAAATAATTAAATTTTTTTTTAAATTTTTCCTCCCCTCCCCTCCAAATTGGGGGGGAGCTCCCCTCCCCTCCTCTCTCTTTCCCTCTCCTCCCCTTGAACTAACAGGCTCTAAGGTGTTAAGGTCGAGTTTGACTATATGAATTTTTTTATATATTTAAATATTTTAAGTTTAATCTAAATAAGTTTAACTCAAATAAGTTTGATTCGCCCGCATTATTAGCTCTAGAGAAAATAATGTGGTTTAACCAAAATAAGGAAAGAACTTATATACTTATTTTTATATATTTAAAGTACTTATTTTAATTAAATCAAAACATGTAAATAATTTATATGTTGTCTATTTTACAACAAATTCTTGTTATTAATGTTATTAATACATTAAAATATATTTATTTAATTTAATTAGATAAAAATATATTCAATATTTAAGGTGAAGCATATGTACTTAGCATTATACACTGAAAACACTCATTTCTCATTAAATTAAGATATGTGAATTTTTTATATATTATTTATTTTATAATAAATTTTTGTTATTAATATTATTATTTTATTATTATATTAAAAATAAAACATTTTAATTTTAATTATATAAAACTAAGCATTTATCGCATGGCGTCCCATATAAGTACAACTGCACCAACACGGAAGTCCACGTGACTCCGTCCAATAAAACAGCGGACGCGAGCGAAACAAAGGGCAAAACGTGTGTTGTGACTTTTTGCTCTTCCTCCCCAGGAAACCGACAAAAGAAGATCGTTCTATGTAAATTCTAAAACAGCAAACGTCGCGACCGACGACGACTACTTTCGAATGAAACATTCCTGTTTTCTAATTCGTCTATTGTCTAACTATTATCATTATTATTATTCGGGGTACTGTCCACATTCTCTTTCTTTTTCAGTCACAATCATCAACTACCCCACTTCGAATCTCTCTCGCCTTGGCGGTCTGATTTTCCTCGTTTTAATTAATTCTAGCAATCCCCTCGAACGATTTAACCCTTTTTGGTGTCTTTTTGATAAATGCCCCCTTACCCGTTGCTCTGATCTTCCTCGGTTCATTGAATCGGCTATTTTTCATTGCCATCAGATCCATTATCGCCGTTGCAACTCGCGAAGTGGATTCCTTGTTCCAAGCTAATTTCGTCGGAGGGTTCCGATTTTTCCGACATTCAACGGCTGATCATTGACGGGATTTTGTTCCTGGGTGGGTTCTTCCTTAAATTCGTCAACGCCTCGAAATCAAAAGTACTAGACGCTGATGAACGAATATCAATGATGAAAAGAAAATTTTTTTGGTTTTTGTTTTTCATCATCGGTGTGATGTGATTAAATCGCTTCAGAAGAGAAGCAGATAGTGAATCTCTCTTTTGTGGGGTTGGAGCCAAAGGGATGCGTAGGTATAATAAAGCAGACAAAGATGAAGCAGAGAGGCATGTGGGTTTGCTTAAATGGGCGCAAATTCTTTCATTCTTCCTTGTTTTTGTAGCAGGTATTGTTATTGGTATAGCTACTAGTTCTCATATTAGTAGGCTTTATTTTAGTCCACAATCTGAGCTATACTCATTCGTCAACCATGTATCAAGCGCCCCTGTGCCAGAAGAAGAAGAAGAAGTTAAGGGATATCATAACTGTGGAGGAACCATACAAGAGTGTGAAGTGATTAATTGTTTGAATTTTGAGACGTTTCTACATCCTCCAAACCTGACCCATAATTTAATGGACGATGAGCTTTTTTGGAGAGCTTCCTTGGTGCCCAAGAAAGAAGAGTATCCCTCTAGCTATAAGAGAGTGCCTAAAGTGGCTTTTATGTTTTTGACAAGGGGGCCTCTACCCTTGCTACCTCTATGGGAAAGGTTCTTTAAAGGGCACGAGGATTTGTTCAATATATATGTCCATGCACCTCCAGGATACAATATGAATGTGTCTAATTCTTCTGCTTTTTATGGACGGCAGATTCCAAGTCAGGTTCGGAAACAGAATTCTATCTATGTTTTTCTCCCGTTTTAATTTGTTAACATAAGTTCATGCATTTACTTTCATATGTTCAAATGCTGTAGATATTGTATGATAGGTATTGAGTTCTTTGTTGCTTTATGAAGTACTGGCTCGAGCTTTCAGCAAGTGGAAATATTTTCTTTTGCAAAGTTTCTCTATGATAAGAGTGGCAAAGTAGAGAAATTTGTCTGATTTGTATTGCGCCAGATGGCTATTTTCTGTGATTTAGATGGCTGAGGTATTAGCTATGTGCTGAAGTGCATTATGGAATTGTAGAATCAGGGCGTGTGGTTGTTATTTGAGACAGAACTAAAAAAGGAGATATGTTTTAGAACCCCATGATGCGGGTAAGATATAATGTCACCAAGCTGTTGTGCATTTGCTAGCTTGTCCTTTACAATGTTTTCGTTTGAAAAAGTAGCGAAGTTGCTGTGGCTACAATAAAAGCAAACAGGATTGAAAGATTGCATGGGATATCTATCTTCATGGAGTAAGCTTGGAATATAGGATGATCTTATAAATGATTACAATATGTTAATCTGATGTGTTTAGACTGTATGTCTGTATCTGAGACAGGGCATTGCTGAAACTTTTGTGAAGAGTACTACGTGCATTCATGTTCAAGAGACTTGGTAAATTGAAGTTACTCGGCACACTGTTGAAATTGGCTAGGAATAGTGACTTTGACTTTGGAAAATTATGTGTAACCCTTGAATTACAGCCTAATGATAACTTTGTGAATTTTATAACATTAGACTTTGGCCCCTAAACTATCACAACAAGAAAAAATGTTTGTATTGGTCAAAATAACATCTAAGAAACCTGTGATTAGCTCATGATACATTAAGAGGGAGAATTCAGGAAGACTGGATAAAATGTCAAGTAACAATCATGTGGTTTTTGTGCATTGTTTTTAACTAATAGATATCATTTTTAGTCTTTGTGATAGTTTGTGGGGGATCCAGTGTTCTGTTTTAAAGTTTATGTACTAGAATCGTACTATGACAGTATGACTATAGTTTATTGGGATTAACATGTGGTTTTTTACTTTGACTCGCCATAGATAATCTGTTCATACTTTATACTGGTAGTTGAAATTTAGATATTTGTATCATCTGCCTGAACTGACACACTTTAATTGTGTGAATTTTGGTATGAAGAGGAATTTATAATGTTATGGACAATAGTATGAAACCATCTACAAGTAATCTTTTGCCCCCACAAATCTCATTTGTTCTTTTCTATGTTAATGTCAGTGCATATGTTTTGTGATGTATCAGGAGCAGGCAATGACTTGTTTTCTCGTCATTCTTTTTTATTTACCTTAATTGAAATGATATACTGCATTATTATTATTATTATTATTATTATTTTTGGGTTTTAAACACTAGCCAATGGTTTGAAGCTCACTGTTCATAAAATAGACACCTGAAGTTCCTTGTCAAGGATTTTACTGGTACTAGTTAAGGAGGATTTTTTTTTTTTTTTTTTGCCGTTTTATGCGTTTTCTCTGCCTATCTCAATAATGTCTGTTTCTGTTGCTATGAGTACTATAGTACAGCATTTCTATTTGTTGTAGGATTCTTTTGTAGATTCTTATAAGTTGTGTTCTCCATATTTTTTCAGGATGTTTCATGGGGATCAGCAACCTTGACGGATGCTGAGAGGCGACTTTTAGCCAATGCATTGCTTGACTTCTCAAATGAGCGTTTTATTCTTCTCTCTGAAAGCTGTATCCCTGTCTATGACTTTCCTACTGTCTACAAATATCTCACTGGCTCTGCTCTCAGTTTTGTTGATTCATATGATGAGCCTACCCGTTATGGTCGTGGCCGATATAGCCGGCATATGCTTCCTCATATCCATCTTAGACACTGGCGGAAAGGTTCTCAATGGTTTGAACTCAATCGTGAACTTGCAGTTCATATAATCTCTGACACCAATTACTACAAACTCTTCTGCAAATTCTGTAAGCCTGCTTGCTACCCGGACGAACACTATATTCCAACATACTTGAACATGTTCCATGGTTCCCTAAACTCAAATAGAACGGTGACTTGGGTTGACTGGTCACAAGGAGGCCCTCATCCAGCAACCTTTGGAGGACCGAACATAACGGTGGGATTTATACAGTCTATAAGAAACAGTGGAACCCTATGTCAACATAACTCAGAGATTACTTCAGTATGCTACCTTTTTGCTCGCAAGTTTGATCCAAGTGCACTGGAGCCCTTGCTCAACATCTCCATGGCTGTGATGGGCTTCTGAAAAATTTTTATTCCAGAGATAAGATATTCAACTACTTTGACTTTGAAATTTACCGTGTAAGTTTGGAGAGAGGATACAAAAGAGCGAAGTAGAGGATGCTTCTTTCTCTCAGTCTCTCCAAATGTATCCTGTAATGTATTTTAGAGGATTCAAATCCAGTTACTAGGATTTTGGTAGAGAATTTAACAATTTTACAAGATCAGAAGTATTTCTGTAGACTCTGTATAGGTAGTGTTAACAGAATTTTGTGTTCTCTGCCGGTGAATATCTTATTTTTGCAGAAACATCTAATTCTTTGTTAGAAGAGGAGATTCATCAATACAGAAATTTTTATGTCATCACCGATTCTATGTTGGCAGAAGATCCAAACTTCTACAAAGTCTTTGATCCAATGATGAAATGCTTAAATTTTCACATCCAATCTTCTGATAGTTCTATTGTTTATTAAATTTAGGATTAGTCAATTATCATATCAACAGATAACAGTGATAACAGCGTGTAGTATTGGTATTAGGATTGGGCTTACTACTGCTAGATGTAACTATAATTCATGTTTCGCAAGAATCATCTTTCAAGGCAAATTGCTTTGCAGTTTTCTCTTTTCAAAACAACTAGATATGAGCTTTATGTATTACCGGGAATTAGAAGAATAAGCCGCACTGTTCATGACTTATTAATCGTACGAGTTTTACAGAGTTCCTATAGATTATATATATATATATATATATAATGATTATGATGTTGATACTTGGTATTGGTTTCCATATCCACCATTAGGAGGCAAACTTCTTTCTTTTAACAATTAATACATGGAACCATGAATCTTTATGCACTAGAACTGCAAATTCAAGACAAACTAGGCTGTAGTAAAAATCATAGGCTACAGGTAAACTAATAACAAGATTTTCGAGACTGTCACTAAAAACAAAATTCAATTTCTTCAATTATTTGTCAATCTGTTACTGACATTGGCATTCACTGTTCAAATTGTAAAAGCAACATAGATCGCATACACTTTCCTGCTGTCAGATGAACACTTTTCTTTTTGGTGAGAAAGTTCAGGTGAGGTGGATTTTGAGGGCTAACCAAGATCAAGACAGGTCTTATGGATCAAAGAATGCTTTGAGGTATTTACATTAGGATTCTCACATCAACAACATGATTCAAATCCGCAACCTTGTAAGGTATGAATCCTATGCTTATCAACTAGATCAACCTTGGTTGGAAACTTATTTTTCTTTGCCTCCTTATTTACACCTTTATTTAAGGCAATGAATAGCTTAGTCACAAAAAAGTCTTTGATTATCTTATGAGCTACTCTGATCTGTCATTTGTCCATACGGATCTGTAAAACATTTGTCCTTCTTCATAGCATTATTCCATCTTCTCTGAAAAATCTGCATTTCCCTGTATGACTCCATCCTAACCTGCACATTCAATGCAGTTTTACATATACACCACTAGTAGACATGGTTGTTTATAAGGATTTGAATAAAAAAGGGAATGACTAGGCGCTTACTTTAGTTCTAACATGATTGGTATGAGAGCCCTGCAACCCCTAAAAAGGACAAATTGTCATTATCATCATTAAGAAAAGATAAATAGATCAAACCATTAATAAATAGATGCTTAAACACGAGCATGTCAGTATATTTTTCAGCAAGACTCTTATTCAATAAGAATCATCTTTTTCACTTTACTTTCCATTAATATTTAATAAGGACAAAATTGAAAACTTATTAAATTTGTACACAGAGTCGTTAAGTTTTAAAGTTTTTTTTTATTTTAATAAAGTGGGTTGGAAGTTATAAATAGGACAAGAGCGGTATAATAAGAGTTTAAACTTGGGCATTACATACATGTCACCCCATTCTTGCCATTTGAGCTAGTCCTAGACGAAGCGCATTAACAATTGACATAATTTAGTGATTTCTAACAAAATGATTCTACCTAAGTATCTTTCTGAAAATGTACTAATGATTCCAAACCGGGCGCATAAACTGCATCAATATTGCTGCTTACTAAACTAATAGCGGATTCAACAATTAGTGAATTATCTCAATCAGTCTGATTAATTGGAAAACTGTGCTTAAACCTAATATCCTCCGAAATTGAACACTGTATTGGGCATTTGAGTGAGTCAGGGCTTGTTTGGTTTTGTTTTCAATTTTTGTTTTTAATAAACTATTTCTCTGCTGCTTGATGCAGAAAGTGAAATCACTTGCCTGATTGTTCTTTGAGCCACCAAGAGTAGGCAGACCAAAATGAACTATGTATTCAGCATCAACTATGCCAATATTTCTTGTGTGATCACCCTGAAACATTGCTGAGTTATGTCAATATTTCTATTTCAACCCAAGAGGTTAAAGTTTAATAGTTTTATTATAATTTTCAGGAGAATCTGCAAAAGAAGGCCTTTGAACTTGAGTTGCTTACAAATAGCATTCTAATATTTCAAAATAGAAAGTATGTTTTTCTACTATTCATTATTATTTCTAATTCTAATGAGTCATAAAATCTATAGCAGGCTCTCCAACTTTACAAGTAATAAATTGTACAGCTTATTTCTCACAATTCACATCAATTTTTTTAAAACTTATATTTTTTATTTTTGCATCATTGTAAGAATTTATATATATCTTTGAATGCAGAGGAAAAATTACTGTCGTTTCACTCTAAAATACATATCAATGATCCTCCATTTTCACACATCGGAAGTATAAAGCGGCAAATGAATTGGCTCATCTGATATTTAGAAATTGGACAAAAGGACCTATTTCCTTGAGATTGAAAGCTAAGAAACATATAATTTTTTTGCTTTAAAAATTTGGAGTTTATTTAGAAGTAATCCCAAATTTGGTGTAAAATGGAACTTCTCTTACCTGTGCACAATAACCAAGCTTCCTATCCAGGCCCCAGGCATGAGTTAGGTCATTCTGCGGGAGCCATAAAGATGATTCAACTAATTAGAGCCTGTTTTGATTTCTGTTTTTTTAAAAAAAATTTAAATAAAAAAATTATTTAGATAATTGTTTTGGATTTAAATGTTTTTAAAACCATTTAAAAAAATAATAATGAAAATATCTTAGAGCTATTTGTGTTTTCTTTGTTATTTTTCAGTCAACTTTTATCAACCACTATCATAAGCCGTTATTATTAATCACTGGAGACCAGCATTTAGCTCTATAATTATTTTCAAATTAACATGATTAAACATATTTTCTCTTTTGTTTTGTTTCAAAAAAATTTAAAAATTAGCTTACTATAGTTTTTTTTTTTAAAAAAAAAGGAAACTAAACCAAACAAATCCTTAGAATTTTTGCTTTTGTCAGTAAAAAAAAAAAGATTTTTTGCTTTTGGGATATCAAAAGGAGTAATGAAAATTACAGTTTAAAATAAAGAATAAGGTTGAAAAATTATCTTTTAAATACTCCCTCCATTTAAAAATGTAAGGCATTTTTAAGCGAATCTCACCTCCCAATAAAGTAGTTACCTACTTTTAAACTAACTCTATCTTTTCATATTTACTCCTATTAAACACCTTACAATAAATATAACATAATTTATTAATAGGGACACTTTTGAAAAAAAATAATGATTACACCTCAAAAGATTAAAAATGCCTTATATTTTTTAACATTTAATTTCAAAAAAAAAATTCTTACATTTTATTAACGGAGGAGTAATACTTTAACTTGTTTTCTTTGGGATAAAAAAAAAAGAATGTTTATTTAGATAGGAAAGAAACACACTTTTCAGTTGGAGGATATTCGGTCAGTCCTTGAAACGATCAAATAAGCAACATTACGGCTTTGTTTGTGTTTTTAAAATTTCAATATCTCAATTAAAACATTACTTGTCAATACCTGAATCATATACCATACACAAGGCCAAGATTTTCTAGAGAACACAGGGGCCATCATCTCCACCCACCTGCAAATTAATTATTACTTTCAATTTCAGTATATCATCATATATATATATAAAATAAAAAATAGAGTGTCTACCAAAAAAATAAAAATTAGAGTGATTCTTATACATTTACGCCGAGCTCAAATTGTATTGTCATTTGTACATTAGGAATTGCTATAATTTGATGGATGTGCTGATGATTTATGAAAAAGGGAGACGTACAGTACATATATGTCCCAGGTAATGAACGGAAAAAATAATTAATTTTCTTATTTAGGACATGATTTTACTTCTTTTTATGAAAAGTAATATTATTCACAAGTTATAAATACTACAACTAAGATTCCAAACTCCATGAAATAAATAAATATATATATATATATATATAATTCACTTGAACAAAAAGAAAAAGAAATGAATTGACTTATACAAAGAGTGCATGTGTTTACCCAATGCAAGGAGAACCAATGCTGGGGTTGTCACACCTTGCATTTCCCGTTAACTTATGATACATTCTGCAACATAAATAAATAAATAAATGAAAATGAAAGCACCATTAACATTAAAAGAAATGGGCCACCTCTGGGCCTTATTTTGGTCTCATATTCCAAAGGGCTAAGATAAGACCACGTTAGAACTGGGCCCGTTTTGGCCCAGCTTGGTTCCGCTTGGGTATGTTATTATTTTCTTCATCCTGAAAGCATGCACGGGCTCTAGTAAATTCTTGAGATCAATTTACTTAAATTTTTATTTTTTAAAAAACAATAGTACAAAAGATTAATAGAACTCCAAAAACTGAATTTGAACTACTCATATCTTCTTATTGTTTATCTTTATTTAAAATCACCACATTTCTTTATTTGTTTTGGAACAAGAAGAGAAAATTGCATATATGTCTCAAATAAGGAAATTAATTACTTATAACTTTCGTCTACTTGTAAATACAGAAATTTAATACGTAAATATTAAAATTTGACTTTATAAATGAACTAAAAAATAATAAATTTCCTTATTTGAGAAAATCAAAGGTAAAACCTGTGCACTTTTGATCCTCCCCAACGAGCAGTGAGTTTATGATTCAAAGTAGATTTTTCTGCATCAAGTGCAGGTTGTGAGATCTCAAGTCCCTCTTCTTCCACAATAGATAAGTACCTACCAAATAAATCAAATACATATATTGAGGCATCTTGAAATAAATCAAATACAGATACATAAAACTACCACACATATATCATACATGTAATTGTAATCAAATGCATATTATTAGAAATTTTACCTTTCTGGGTCAAAATTTTCAACGCCAAGATCTTCATCCCATAGAAATATGTAATTATAATCAGCAACTATATCTGGATGCAAGAATCTTTTTGCAAACCACCTGTGACACCAAATAGCATGTTTTAGCAGAAGAATTAATTAATTAATTAATATCATAATTTAGTATAAAAATAATTAATGGATGATAATTGTATATACCATTTGGTCTGATTAATTGCAGAAATATGGATGGCACTATCACTCCAAGAAAAGTCCCTCCATCCTTCCACAATACCATCATAGTGAAAGAGAATTACAACAAACTCATCTGCAGGGAACTGCAATAAATTATTAGTAATAAATAAATATTAGTAGGAGAAACATTTTTGTTCTAAATTATAGTCCTTTCTAATAAATTTAGACAGGTTTTTCTTTTCTTTTCTTTTCTTTTCTTTTTTTTTTTTTAGTGTGCATTGTATCTGTTGTCACAAGGCACAACTTATCAGTCCCATTCATAAGAAAAAGAGCACTTTGCCCCAAAACCACGAAACGTAGAATATTAATTGCGATAATAAAATTTTTGGTCTTTGAAAGTTATTTCAATTATCAATTTGAGTTTTGAAGTATAATTTTTTCAATCAAATCACTAAAGTTTCTTAGCCATGCAGAATTTGTCATTTATGAAACTCTAAGAATTTGGTTGACAAAGATTGAATTTGAGGAATCAAATCAATAATTGAGGCAAATTTGAGGGGTCAAAAATTTCATTATCTCATGCAAATTTTAAACATATTATAATTGAGAGTGAAATAAAGTAATTGGAGTGGTAAAATCTCACCTTCTCTACTATTTTATTGACAACTTCTTTCTGCTTAATTCCTACTGTCATTGCCAACAATTTCAATGGAGTCTTGGAATGTCTCTAAAGCAACAAGAACACCAACTCTCACAAGGATTTTTTTTTTGAAAATAATAATAATTGGAGAGAATTAAAATATCTAGAGAGGAAATCATCAATTAGCACTCACAATCAGTCAATAACCTATAAGATTAACAATAATAATTAATTTTACAAACATATTAAACTAGAAGATTGCTTCGAAGTTGTTATGATTCATACAACTTAGTGGACAGAAACGCATAAATAAGATAATAAACAATATATATATATATATATATATAATGGACTTGAGTAGAATTATAAAAATATAATCTGGTGTGCCACACCACATGCAATTCTTTTTTTTCCCTCTAAATTATTAATTAAATAAGTGATGTGGGAACTAAGAATGTGTGTTTAATGTGTCAATTAATAATAAAATAAGAAATGCAAATGACATCAAATCTAACTCCCTGATCAATTTCTTAATTTATGATTTAATTCCAGCTAAATCAACTTAAAGGAGTAGATGTCAAAATATTCAAATCAATATCATAATAAAAAATAAAACTATAAAATAAACTGTATTATCTATATATTTTAAATCGTGCATCCTGCTTTTCAAACTCCATACAATGGAAGAGATCCAGATTCATAATCAAATAAAAATTAGTCATTTTGCAAGCAACATTTCATCTTTGGACTATTTAGTGCACATGGGAGATAATAATTTAAAAGTTTCTCAAAACTTATGCTCAACATTCTAACATCCAAACTCTAGAAATACATTAAGAAATATTGAAGGAATAAAAAATAAAATTGCATGGAGCTAAATGATAGTGTGAGAAAATATAAAAAGATGGAAAAAAAATAATGAATTAACCCTATATTTTTAAATTGATTGTAACTTATTTTTTAAAATTTAAACCAGTGCAACTTAGTCTCCATGATTTTAACCCGATAAAAATTTGATTTCTAAACTTTAATTTAAGACAACTTAATCCCTATAATTTTAATAAATAACATTAATTCTTATAATTTTATTTTCTAAAATATAGAGATAAATATTTTAAATAGTCAAAACTATAAGATTTGAATTACACGTAGAAGGGCTTGTTTTTATAGTTAGATATAACTGATTATGAAAAATTAATTAATATAATTAATTATAATTATAATTTATTATATTATAATGTGATCATATTTGGATATTATTTTTTTGAAATCAATTTTGATAAAATTGAAGATGTTTGAATAATTTTAATCAAAATTAATTTAACAAATAAAATATGTATAATAGTGATCCATTTAATATTTATGTAACTATTTAAAATATAATTATATTCTGATTAATTAGAAATTTAGATTATATTATTTATAATATTAATACTTTAATTTATGTAAAAAAATTTAAAAAAGCAATATATATTTGCAAGGGGAGGAGACAGATGGAAAACACCCATGAGACCTAGATGCACAAGCACAAGAAAGAGGGTATATGGCATGTGAAAAAGGGTACATGTGGCAAGTGAAGATTCTAACACCTAATTGATGTAAGTAATTGTAATAATCGAAATTAATAAGGATCTTCTCACAGCTTCAACCAAGAGTTTTAGAAATTGTTTTCCCCTTCCAAAACCATGGTTTGGGGGGCAGAATCCATTAATATAGCTTATACAAAACAATTATAAAATTTAAGAATTGAGATTCAACTGAACAAACTATAGAAATTATTTTAAATTATATTGAGTCAAAATTTAAATATTAAATTTTAATTGAATCAAAATTATAAGAAGTAAATAATTAATTTTTCAAAACGATAAAATAATTGCATAAATCTTTATAGGGAAATCAAACATTCAAACTATTTATATATGGGTTATAGAAAAAAAAAAGAGTATGACTCTCAATAATAAAATTTATTTTAAAAAAATTAGGACTATTTAAATATTATATACATATATATATATATATAGAGAGAGAGAGAGAGAGAGATTTGAATCCAAATAAAATAATTACACGTACCTTATTTTCCTTAGAGTTCCATAAACATCGCATTTCCAAGTTAGTTTGTTTGACAACAATTCCTTCTGGCAATGCCTCACTTCCAGATGGCCTGCATTGACTCTTGAGGGCGAAAAGAAAAACAAATATAGCAAAATAATAAAAAAAATTAATTTATCAATTAATCAGAAAGTATAATTTATTTAGGACTAATTAATTAATTATTCTCCTGAAAAAAAAAATGACAAACCTCGCACGCAGTGGACTTCATATTCCTTGTGCCGATCACTAATCTCTGGGCAGGGTAGCGTCCAAATAAAATTTACCACATAGTAAGTAATAAGAAATAATTAATTTTGAACTGATTTATTTCTCTTCTAAAAATTGCATAAAAACTTCAAGGCATGTTAAGTTTACTCTGTAACTTTTTTTTTGAACATATATAAACATATAGATATATCCTGTATAAAAGCTAATTAATTTATGATTAATTAATTTTTTTGAATTTATACACTAATAATGTTTTGTGTCTCTGTTATTTCCCCCTTATACAGCATTATACAGAGATTTCAAACTTTGGAAGTTTATAATATATATATATATATATATTTTATAATTAAGGTCAAACAATGTCTTTGTGGTTAAGATATAATTTTAAAAAAGCTTAGCATTCGATAGAAAGTTAGAAACTAAGTACTTGGTAAAAACAAGAAAAGAAAAGAAAATGTTTTTCATTAAAAAAATTAGTATTTTTTCAATTTCAAGTAGGAAAACGTGGCTAAAAAATCCCTTTCAACTACAGTTATGTGCTTCCCCCCCCCCCCCAAACAATCTTTAGTCATATACAACGTGCAAACCTCAAGCTAGACCATTGCATAATTTTTATGTGCCCATTCTTTAAATTTACAATTCTTTTTCTTAAAAAAAAACAGCTAGAATTTATAAAATCAAAAATAAAATAAAATAAAGAGTTGAAGAGCAATTTCACTCATACATAAACTATAAGTTTATGAGCATCTAAAATTTTAAATTTATTTTTAGTAAAATTTTCCATTAAATTTTTAGAAATTGTGCAATATCAATCTTATCATTAATAAAAGTTGACTTTAATCATTAGTTGATTGAAAAATTATAAAAAAATCTCAAAAATAACAGAAAATGATAAAAAACTAAAAAAGACCCAAAATTACAGACAATAACTTAAAAGATTTAAAAAAATGGCACAAAAATTGAAGAGTAACATTGCAAAAGAACTAGTTTAGGGTTCAGGGACAAATTAATCATTTACCTGATTTTAGTGAATAAATAAATAAATTTCTCTTACAAATACCAATTTTTTATTATCAGACGAAAAATCATTTAAAAATTTTAAAAAATAAACAAAGTCAGACGAAATACTTACTGATCTGTATTCCTCTGTAATTAAGATGTTTCCAGCAAAGTAAATGCCACAAATAAGAGAAAATACAATGAAGAAGCCGCGAAAGCATGACTTATTCTTTGGATCTGATAAAAGAATAGCCTGAAAATTAAAAAAATAATTAAAAACAATTAGTCACTTCAAAAATTTCAGGCACATAGTAGTTATAATTTCTCAAAAGCCAGTACAATATTCTCATGTATTGTACGGAAAATTATTATAATAACAAAAATTCGGCCTAAAAAATAACACACAAAATATTTTCCCACTTTAATTCTAAAGAGACATGCTCATCATTATTTTGAAAATAGGATTGGCCATCAAATAAGTTAAGATATTTTTTAACCAAATCACATATTTCAATAAAATAGTTAAATATCTCTCAATTAACACTATCTTTTTATATTTATTTTTTATTTTTTAAAATAATTAAAAATAATTTATTTATTAGGGACATTTTTAATAAAAACATTAATTATATTTTAAAATATTAAAAATATTTTACATTTTTTAATATTTAAATTATAAAAAATAATTTATATTTTTAAATGAAGAGAATATATATATTATATATTTTTGAGTTTTTGACTTGTTCGATTATTTTTTGCCGTATTTTCTTTCTTTATTATTATTTTTTCCAAACATTTTTTTTACGGGTCTTCTATTTGACTGGTTCTATTGAATTCCATTCTAATTAACATCAGCAGGTTCAATCCTATTATCAAAATAGTTGATGGTGATTGAAAAGTGACATTTCTATACATACCTAAAACAATTATTTTTTTATATCATATTTTGATTGATTTGATTATTTAAGTAATTCTAGAAATCCAATCTCACAATTGTAGGAAAGCAAGTTGTAAATTTAATCCCACTGTCTTCTAATAATTATAATTATAAATTAAACAATAAATAAAATAGTATGACAATGAAGTATAGGGCACAGATTCTTTTCGCTCCCAGAATTGCAATTTGAAGCTTTTAACACTCTAAGCACAATTAACAATAAATAAGACTTTTCTTGGACGAATTTATGAAGGAAAATGAGAACCAATTTGAAAGAAAATATTGAATTCAACACACATAACTTCCATAGGTTTTCCTTCCGCTTTTCTCACCACTCAAACAAGGGAAAAGCACAGAGAAACGTAAAGTAAACCCAAGAAAATTCAGTTTCTGAATTGAGCGCCAGCCAGAATTCCCAAGAAGATTTGAATTGAACTGAGTGGTCAATTGATTGATAAGGCATGAAATTGAAGAAACAGATTAATAACTAAAAAGTTCAGATTGCATTGAATGATTAATCAATCGAACTTCACACTGAGAACTTTGAATTTCTTTCTAGTTTTCTCACCAGACAAACAGGGGAAGCAGAGAGAAATATTAAACCACCCCAAGAAAATCCTCAGCTTCTTATTCTAGCTTAGATTAAACGCACAGCCAAAATTCAGAAAGAAATCAAATTTTCAATTTTTATACAGAATTATGAAATTAAATCAGAAGAACCCAGAGAATGAATAATTAATCAAACGAACTTCACACAGAACTTCGAATTTCCTTCTAGTTTTCTAACCAGCCAAACAAACAGGGGAAGCAGAAAGAAACGTCAAGTAAATTCAAGAAAATTCAGTTTCTTCAGCTAGATAAATTGAACTCTTTTTATCAAGAAAAATGAAATTAAACCGTAACAATATCCAGAGAGTGAATAATTCATTAATCGAACTTCACACAGACCTTTGAATTTCCCTCCAGTTTCTCGCCAACCAAACAGGGTAGCAGAGAGAAACGCAAAGTGAACTCAAGAAAAATTCAGTTTCTCAAGGGGGAAAAAACCTTTATTCTTGTGACGCGCAATAATGAAATAAGATCATACAACGAAGAGCTAGAGAGTGAGAATGAGAGCTTACAGGATTGAAAGCATTCATTTTTCTGTGTTGTTCTTTTTCTCAGTGATAACCGCCAGCGAGAAGACGACTGACAGAACAGAAAGATTTCATTTTATTTTTCTTTCTAATTTTCTCAGCAGCCAAACGCCAAATAGAGAGAGAAGAATCAGAATAATAAGAAGAAGAAAGATACGCCCAGAAACTTTTATCGTTGAATTTGTTTTGATTCTCCTTAACGATGGGCTTGGCCTTAGTCTTCGAGAGAGATGGAGAGAGAAGGGCGGGGAGAGAGAGAGAGAGATTTTTTTTTTTTCTGCTTTTCCCTTTTTTTGGTCAATGAGGGAGAGATGTAAGCGAAGAACCAAAAAAAAAAAAGTCACTAATAAGTAGAAATAAATAATTCTCTCTAGAAAAAAAATATATGAATAATAATCATTGAAATTGATAATTCAATATTAAAATTTTTAATACGAATTTCTAATATAAAATTATACTCATTAGACATCATTACTTTTTTTCTCTTAAAACTTCATGCTAGGAATCTCATTTGGTTAATTATTCATTCATATATTCTTCGATTTTTTTTTTTACCAACATCACTTCATATATTCAATTAAATATCAAATTTAATATAAAGTACAAAAATATTTTAAATTCTTGCTTAACCATTTTTTTAACTATTTTCGTATTATTATTGGTGAATGATACAACTTTATTCAATAAAATTTGTGCAACATATTTTAAAAAAAATCAATTCCATAAATTTTAGTTAGATGAAGATATATTTAAAAATTTATTATAAATAAAGAGAATGACACAAAAATACCTCATTAATAAACAAATAACATAAGATTAATATAAAATAACGTAATTATTTTGGAGTTCTAAAAGTTTTCTTTGATTTTTTTTAGAAAATGACTTTTTTAACCCTCTAAAAAAGAATAGTGAAAATGAAGCCACGCGCGACGGGTGGTGGCTTGCGTCTCGACTGGGTTGCTATCTGCACTTCTCCTTTCCTCATGATTCCTTCCATAGTCCATACCACAATGTTATGAAAATTACACATTCGATCCCAAAATTTTATAATTTTTTGGAATACAATTTTTTACAATTTTAAATTTAAACCTTATAATTATTTTTAATACCAAACTAATTTTGCATTAGAATTTTAGATAATTCTTATGTTTTAAAAAGTTGCTATTGTCAATTAATAATTTATCATTTGGCAATATGTTGTAATCATTGGCATAATTGAGAATATCAGTTCCCCAACTAAAGTATTTATTGAGCTTTTTATGAGTAAAGTGACTTTTAAAATATAATAATTATCTAAAATTTTAATGCAAAATGATTTTACTATTAAAAATAATTGTAAGGTCGAAATCAAAAATAAAAAAATTCTAAAAAATTATAAAATTTTGGAGTCAAATGTGCAATTATTGTCAAAAAAGTAGTGTTTTGGAGGGGATAAGAAAGGAGACGTATAGACATATCCAGAGTCAAGCCACCTCTTGTGCCATGCCGCGGCTTCATTTTCACTGCTGATAATTAAGAGAATTAAAAAGATATTTTATAAAAAAATTGTCAGATAGAGAAGTAACTTGGAGCTTTAAAATAATTTTCTATTTTATGATACTCTTTCATCATTTAGAGGTATTTTTGTGTCAATCTTTCTTATAAATATGAAATATAGAGAATCGTATTTAGGACCTTAAATAAAAAAAAATGATAGTGAGAGTTCAGAACAATCGAAAGTTTTCAGTGATGCACAAGATAAAATTTACCAATTCAATTGTGCATGCAAAACTTTCTGTTGTTCTGAGCCCTCTCATTACCATTTTTTCTTCTATGGAAGCTTTGAACGTGATTCTCCTTGTGAAATATCTATATATACATACATATAAAATATAAAGAAGATGTAATAACTTACAAGTAGTGTGGTTTACCTTACATTTTGTGTAGATCACAAGCCCACGATCCAGTCATTATTAGATTATTTGAAAGTATAATTTTAATAGCACGAATAATATTTAAATTTTATTATTATAACATCTTAGTTTGATTATTGGAAAAAATTTAACACAATTTTTTAATATTTCTAATATTTAGTTACAATTATTTTTTATATAACTATTCAAATATATCATGGGCACTAATAACAAATTAGAATGAAATGAAAGAAAATATATGTAAAAACAAAAAAGAAAGAGAAGAGGAGAGACTAATCAACTTTGATTATTCACACTAACGCACCACGCAAGTGGGAGGAAAGCGCATTACGCGGAATACGACGTGTCGTGGGAGGAGTTGGCCTGGAAGTGCCATTATTCAACGGAAAATAATAACAACAATAATTCTTATTAGAAGAGGCAATCAATCATGATTAGCAGTTAACTATACTTCAAATATAATTATCTTTTAATAGGAAGATACTTCAAGGAAAAAAAATAGGGAGAATCATATTAAAGTCTCAAAATAATGAATTCATAGAAATTAAGTCCTGACAAAATTTTCTAAAATCCAATTATAAATATTGATTTATTTTTTTGACCAGTAAAAGACTTCATTGAAAAATTTCAAAATAGAGTTTACAAACATAAAGGAAAGACATAAACAGCAACAAAAGGCATAAGCCCAATATGGCAAAGACCTAAAAAGAACAAACTAGAAATAATAATAGAAATCAACAAATGCTTTCTTTATCTCTGTTGATAGTTGGATGCTGGTCTAGAGTTTTGAGTTCGAGAATGGCACGAGTCCTTGGACAAAATAGGAATGAGAGAGTGTGGTGGGCTGAAAACCAAGCCAAGAGGATCTACTTTAGAATAGAAGCTGTCAATCAATTAGCAACAAAATTTTCATCTCACTCAACAAATGAAAAGGAAATAAAGTGTGGACACTTCAAGCTAATCATCTAATTTCCTAGAATCCCATGAGATGTCTAAGGGCATAGAGATAGATCATGACATGAAATGGATTTATACAAATCAAGGTAATCTATTTCAATTATAACACTATAACTACTATATTCAGATGTAACTTGTATGGCCCTTTGGCATGTAAAAGCTTCAGACAAAAACTCGAATCAACCACAACAGTATCTCTCCAACCCTTCAAAAATTGTCCTGACCAATCCCTAACAATCACCCTAACAGCAGTTGCCATCGTGGCTTGTAAGAAGGCTTCATCACAATTAATTTTAATGGCTCCAAAATTAGCGGAATCTATTTGTCAATTGAGATTTTTGGGCAGAATAAGGGAGGTACAACATTACAATTAATTTTCCAATGCTTCTCAACAGTAGCATTAGATGATTCTATGACTTGCAAAGGGTTCAATGCCACTATAGAGCAGACTAATGCAGAACGAGTCTTCCATATATTCCAATATACGCAAGCAATATAAGCCTTATCATAATCCTCTAAGGGACTATCTTCAACCAGAAAAGAGTAGCACAAAGCTTCAAAAGATGTTACATGCATGGGGTCCATAATTAATGATAAGTAAGATCCATGCCAGACTTTATGGGACCATTCACACAACAACAGCAAATGTTCAATAGTTTCAAGATTTTCCTTGCAAATTGGACACAAAGGATCAGCAGCACACTTAGGAGAGAATAAAGCTTCCTTTGTAGCTAAAGAATGATTCAACGCCTGCCACATAAAGTGCCGAACCTTGAGGTGAATTTTTAAACTCCAAATCTGCTTCCACAGGTTATCAAGAAATCCAGTTGACGCCCCAAAAGATCTGAGAACCATAGGGTGCTATCGCGCATATGCAAATCTATACCCAAGTTTAGAAGACTATTTACCATTTTTAGCAGCTGCCAATATAGCAACATCCGCAGAAGAGTAGATAGGGATATGAATTTTTTTAATGTATTCCAAAGTCTGAATTGAAGCCAAATCCCAAGCTCCATTGGAAATAAGTTCATCAACCTTCATTTGTTCATCAACAATGACATTTACACAGGGATTAGCTTTAAATTCAGACATGCTAGGTATCCACGAATCTGTCCAAACCCCTATATCCGGTTCCAACCTCACATGGAAAGAGACTTCTTTCAGCAACAAGTCTGTACCAACAAGGATGCTGCTCCAAGCCCAAGAAGCTTTGGGGCACTGCTTGGCATGTAGAAAAGAGCATAATGGGAAGTACACAACTTTTAGGACTTGAACCCATAATTCTTGAAGATTATTCATAACCCTCCAAGCAGTTTGTGCAAGCAAAACACCATTTCCATGAAGTCTCTAAATCCAAGCCCTCCTTGATTCTCAGGAACAAAGTTTGTCCCATGCTTTCCAATGAATATTGATTCAGATAGCTATAGATTTAAAAGTTCAATTTAATTGTAAATATAACTCTTAGCTTGTAGTTGTAATTTCTATTTATAATTATTTAAATTAATATTTACAATTTATTTTTTAGAAACTTTTGTTGGAAACTTAATTGTCATAAATTTTAAATTTTAGGATTTTTTTTTTTATCATTCTCCCAAAAAAATATCCAATCATTCGAGAAGAAAAAACAGTGCAGAAGGGAAGGAAAAGTAATTTAATATTAAGTTATGCATATTATAATTTAGAGAGGAGACATCAAAAAGAGTACTAAGTTAAATTTTATGAATATCATGACAACCAACACGAAACGGCAAAGACTTTATGGTTTTGAAGTATGTTACAAGAATTGTATTTATCCCTCTGGCTAAGTATAATACAGTGAGGCATTTCAATAGTCACCAGTCTTTGCTTCTCATTCAATTCATGAGATCCAAATCTATCACATTCACCCCTGAGTGACAAAGCTGCCTTGTGGACACAAGTTTCTTGTGTTTCGCTGTCATTTCCTAAAATTCAGTTTTGTTTTTGTTTCCAAAACTTAATGTGTATTTAATTTTTAATTTATTAAAAGTCCATTTATTGAAAGTTCATTTAACAAAAGTTAATTTAATAAAAGTCAGTTATTATAATAAAATTTATGTTTAAAAATAATGTTTTAAAAATTAATTTAGTAAACTGAAAGTTGTTTGGATTATAATAGTGAAATATACTTTTAAATATATAATTACTAAAAAAGACATTATCTTATAATGATTTATAATTTTTATTATACAAATGTAATATATTTAAAATGTTTAAAAAATATGATAAAAAATTTAAATAACATAAAATTTAATATATTAAATAATAAAATATAAAATATAAAGTTTGATATATTAAAAAATTATATAATAAATAGTTCAATGTATATAAATATTAAAAATTAATGAGATTGAAAAGATATATAAGATCAAAAAATTTTCAAAAAATATTTAGCCAATTGGACACACCTTTGTTGGTTAATAAAAATTATAAACAACATAAAAATTGATATATTAATTATTAACAGTGTAAAATATAAAATTTGATATATTGGACAAAAATTATATAAATGGTTGAATATACAAAATGCTAAAAATTAGTAAGATTAATTATTCAATCTATAATGCTAAAAACTTGATTTCTAATAATAATAATTATTTAAATGATAATTGCATTTTTAATAAATTAAAAATATGTTTTAAATAAAAGAATAATATATTAAAGAGGTAGTTTGGTCAAATAACACCCCACTTTTTAAATTTACTTTTCAAATTTTATTTCAAATTACTTTAAAAAATATTTTTTAAAAATACATTTTCTCAATCATCTGGTATTCAAACAATTTTTTTCATCTCAAATATTGAAAAGTGCTTTCCAAATATAAAATATAATTTACCCAAATACACCCTTAATTTTCCGGAACCCAACTTTTGTGCCAATGGCTCACTAGCTTTGTGGCATTTAGCTCACTTCTCGCGTGTGGAAATTAGTGAAAGTCAAAATAATCTCGTTTCGGAGTCAAAAGTGATTATGAAGGTTAAAAAAAAAACATTTAGATAATTTTAATAAATTCATGATTAACCTAGATTTTATATTTTTAAAAATCACGGTAGAAGCTTATGCACTAACAATTTCTCCATTTTACTTCTCCCTCATGTCCCTTTCTTCGTGTTCTTTTCAGTAATATTTTCTCCACCATTTTTCTTATTATATCTTAATTAAATCATCAAATTCTCGTTCTCAATTTAATTAACTATGTCATTAAATTTTCTAATACTTTTAAAACTATGTTATTCATGTTAGTATAAATTTCTCCACTTTTGCTTGCATTTGCAAAAGTCAGATTTAGGTTAATATTCAATATCACTAAAGTTAGTCTTGAGTCACTTAAATACATGTACCTCATCATGCACTTAGGAAACTATTTAATATTATTTTATACATATAATTTGGGAAGAACATGGTCACGAAGGGGAGTTATTTTATTAATTTTATAAAGACTAGTCAGAGCAATACGTTATTGCCAGCATCGATGTTTGCAGGACCGTAAGCTGTTTTCTTTCCACGTGTATCACCTAAACGGGGAATAATATGTATTTACCACTTTCTATGTATCACTTAAACTAATAATAATATATTTAATATTTCCCTTTATTTTGAAACGTAGGAGCTTGTTAAGTAAATCACTTGAATTAAGAAAATTAAGTAAGCTAGTAATTTAAAAGAAAAATATGAGTTGGTTTCCCTAAAACCATTGCATTTAATTTTTATTGAATAGTTTGAGAAAAGAATGTAATAGACGAGGAAGACCAAAGAGATTGGGATCTTATATCTAGAAAAAAACTTTTTCTACTAATTCCTGCATCTAAGATAAGAGGGAGTACTTGGACAACAATAAAAATTGAAATATTTGGAAATTTTAATAAAGAATCAAAGAATTCAAATTATAATTTAAAAACAGACTCTAGAGTCACTCCTTCTAGTAATTTCATAGTCGTTTGGTTGTGGTGTTGTGCGTAAGTGGGAGAGGATATTGGACTTCCAAGAAAGTAACAAAGTCCATTTTGCTTGTTTGGTTAAGGGCCTTGCACTCTCCTCACAAGTAAAAAAATATCCATTTTAAGCAAACCATTCTGTATTTGAAACCAAAACTTCAACTAATCTAGATTGAATCGCATCAAGATCTTTTAATGTGGAAGCTCTATTATCTAACATTGTTACATTTTCAAAATTCAAAACTTTTAATTGAATTGATGCAACGATTTTATTAGTTAAATCAAATACTTGTTAGTAATTAAAAAAATAGTTCACTGAGTAATACCCATTTAAGTTTTACTTCTCTAGTAATTCTATTTTTATTCTTTTTTATTTTGCGAAGTTCTAGCTTTGTTGAAAGTGCGTTTGTTTTCCCTCTTCTCCTTCAATAATGGCTTGCATATATATGGGATTGAGCTACAATTAAAATATACATATGTATTAGCATTGAGGGTTTTGAAGTTATGTGTTGGAATTATATGTTAATATGTTTTCTCCATCCCATTTTACAAGATTCACTTGATTCATCATAACCAAAACATGTCTTTATGTTCAAAAAGTACTTATAGAAGTACTTACATATCACTCACTAATAAGATCTTGACACTGGCAATGAGATTTAAACTCATAACCTCATAAATTATTGATTAAATCTTTATCAACTGAATTAATTTTTATTAATAAATTCTTAAAGTCATTGTTGGAGAAACATTATCAGCCCAATATTTTAACTTATTAGGTCCACCTCATGTTGATGGGCTAATTTCTCACAAACCTTGTCAAGTATTTGGATGACAGGCCTGCCTTGAACAATGAATCAGACCCAAATAAAAATCTAGGTTATACATCAGCCCATTTATTTCGAAACAACCCAATCTCATGATATGGCCAGCTTGCTTGTTAGCCCAACTTCCCTGTCGTCTTTTTTTAATTTTGGGCCTCCAAAAAATTTGAAGCAAAAGCCCATTATCTCATCTGCACCTTTTCACCCAATGCCTCAAGGGGTTAGGATCTCCTGCAGGGCCTGCTTTGTTCAGTTAATAACACTTCATAGTTTTGAGGTAGGAGTATATCTTTCTACTTTTATTAATGTTTTAGATATCAGATGGGCCAATAAACCCAAAAAATTAGTGAATTCACAATTCACATGATCTAACTAGGTAAATTAAACGGTCAAACTGATGATATAATAATTTAATAAAAAATATTTTATATGTGTGTGTGAAATTTTTAAATCATTTAACTAACATTAAATATATAATTATGCATGTATTTAATAGATATATGTATGGGGAGAATAGTAGATAAGTCCTAAGAAACCAATTTAATTAAAGATAAGTCCCAACATATTTTGAAATGCTAATGAAGTCCCAAGGTTCTTGAAGGACTATATGAGCAAACAAAAATAACTTAAATAACAATTTTTCCCAAAATTTCAGTACGGCAGAGCAGGATCACACACAGAGAAATCCAGAACTCCAAAAAGTGGAGTGCAACACCGTCCACGGAGAGAATAAAAAATTTTAATAAAGAAAATACCTTAATTTGCTACTTGTTTCCTATTTTTAATAAAGAAAATAAAAATTGTTAACTTGCAAATAGTAAATAAATTTCAGGAATTTGCAAATACTAATCCTTCACTTACAACTTCAAAAGCCTTAATTTGCAACTAGTGTTTCATTTTTTAATCAAGAAAATAAGATTTTAAATTGTAAAATATTGGACCAATTTTAGAAATTTTTGCAACCATTATCATCTAACGTCCAACAAGTGTTCTTATTTTTAATATGGAAAATAAAATTTTTAACTTGCCAAATATTGGATCATTTTTAGAAATTTGCAACTAAGCCTCTCAAATTTGC